ATGCATTTATTTAATCACAAATACGGTAAAAAACGTAATATTGTGAAATATTATTCCAGTTTAAATAACTAATTTAATATATTTTAAAATATAATTTATTCCTGTGATGCACAGCTGAATTTTCAGCATCATTACTCCAGTCTTCAGTGTCACATGATCCTTCAGAAATCATTCTGATTTGCTGATTTGCTGATTTTATAATTATCAATGTAACAGAAACTGTGATATATATTCGGTCATGTTTTTCCAAACTTCTGACTGATACTGTATACTGCTTTCATTATTTATTTAACTATGCCGGCTACAGGTTCTGTAAAGGTGAATAGCTGCGTGCATGAAATGTGTGTGAGTGTGTTTTAAAAATGTATACTTACATTTACGTATTTAGTACACACTTTTATGCAAAGCAACTTAAATTGCTTTCAAGGGTTCCCTGGGAACCAAACCCACACTAGCAGCAGTCACTAGCAGCAGGCTTTCACACCGGAAGAACCTTTTCATAATTCCTAGAACTATTAGCAGAAGTTCCCCCTTTTTTTGGCATGTTCTCACCGCAGAAAAAAAAAACTTAAAAACTTTTAAATCCTGTTAATTAAGCCAGTTAAATTAGCTCCTACTTCAGAGTAGGGTCTAATGGTGCATTCAAGTCATGTCGGATAGATCGTATTTACGAGTTGAACACACATGAACGCCACCACAAAGTCGTTATTACGAGTGGGAAACTCGAAATTTTCTTTAAGCCCTGAGTTTCCGAGTTGGGGGCATGTCAATGAGAAACATGGCGGAATCGATGGATGCAACGTCTGTAGTTGACAGCAAATTTTTGTTTAAATTGATAGTTTAGTTTTCCTATAAACTTAAATTGGTCATGTTCTTGTTACGCAGCTAGTTAATAAAATCCAAGTAAAAAAATGCAGACCCTGTTGTATTTTCTTGTAATTTATTAAAAGAAGGTACACCGCCATCTTGTGCCGACTAAACTGACTTGAACGCACCTGACGTCGTAATTACGACTTGTCAACTCGTAAATACGAACGTCCCAGGAGGACTTGAACGCAGCATTAAACAGTTCTATAGGAACTACCAGTGACGTAAGTGTATGCTGATTGGCCAAACGCATACGAAACACCGGCTACCCAGCATTTTTAAAAAGCCATGTAACAATATTTACTCCACGAACATGGAAAACAGCGATAACGGCATTTAGCTACCTGTTGTCTGCAGCGTTGTGTTCTTTTCCCAGCCTCGATGATATGTAACATTGCAAGTTGTCACAGGCGATTTAGTCAGATTTTCATGCTCTTTCAATCGTGTAAATTTCGTTTACATTCCATCTCTGTTATCAAGAAACCAAAAAACACACAACAAAAACAGCTCCAATCACAGCGTTCTCTATTCACCGGTTATCGATATTTGTAGTTTCTAAAACTAAGTTCCTAGAACTACGCGGTGCGTAAGCACCTTATGGGGCTTTCGCACCAGATTAACCTTTTCATGTTTCCTAGAACCAGTGTTGGGAAGATTACTTTGGAAATGTAATAAGTTACAGATTACAAGTTACCCTATTTAAAATGTAATAAATAGTGTAACTATTTCAATTATATTATTAAAGTAATGTAACTGATTACATTTGATTACTTTTCAAAATTGAAAGGAACACTCCACTATTTTTGAAAAGGGGAGTTGGAAAATGAGCCTATTTTCAAAAATAGTGGAGTGTTCCTTTAAATTTCTACATTTTTTAATTTTTTTTCCCCAAATTGTTAATCATTTTCAAACATTTAAAGCAGGCAGGGTTAACCTTACAGTAGTAGGCTACTTAACACTGATTACTGTAAGACCTTCAAAATCATTCTTGCACTAGAATTACGAAGATAATTTAATTTTAAAGCACAGCCACCACAAAATCAGACTTTAGCACCTCTTTTTACTTTGAGATGGTTCTGAGGTTAAATACAGATTTAAAATAATAACAAGAAATAGTTTAATAGCTATGATACTGTCTTTGAAATCAAATCTTTGCATAGCGAAACACCGGCATTTAACAATGCCTTGGAAAAAAACAAACAGTTAATTTAAAAATAAAGCATATACACAAACCCAAATAGGAAATAAAACAATTATCAAATAAGCATGTGTCCTATTCTGTGTCCTAAACTCCTAAATGTCTTAAAATTTTAGAGCAGTCAGTGCAATTTTGGAAAGAAATCAATCAAATCTGTATGTGTGTTAAAATATTTAGATGTAACCTTTGTAATCGTTAACATTTTTATTAGTAACTGTAATTTAATTACACATTTTTTCTCAGTAACTGTAACTGATTACAGTTACATTTTTTTTAATTAAATTACGTAACGCCGTTACATGTAACTAGTTACTCCCCAACACTGCTTATTGGAAATAAAACAGTTATCAAATAAGCATGTGTCATATTCTGTGTCCTAAACTCCTAAATGTCTTAAAATTTTAGAGCAGTCAGTGCAATTTTGGAAAGAAATCAATCAAATCTGTATGTGTGTTAAAATATTTAGATGTAACCTTTGTAATCGTTAACATTTTTATTAGTAACTGTAATTTAATTACACATTTTTTCTCAGTAACTGTAACTGATTACAATTACATTTAGATTGTAATTTAATTACGTAATTCCGTTACATGTAACTAGTTACTACTACCCAACACTGCCTCGAACTATTGGTGGAAGTACCTGCTTTTTGCCGTGTTCGCACCACAGGAACTAGGAATAGGTTTAGTTCCAGGAACAGTTCTATAGGAACTACCAGTGACGTATGTGTATGCTGATTGGCCAAATGCATACGAAACGCCATGTTAAAATATTTATGCTGTCAAGTGGAAAGAGATTCTTCATGCAACCATAGATGACAATAAAGAACCTTTATTTTTAAGAGTGTATTGAACATGATAAACCACTTTGACTTAAAAGTCTGCAAAAATATTACTGATTGTGCCAAACATGTAATATGATTATAGCATTCTCATCAAAAAAGGATGAACTTTTGCACATGAGATTTATGAGATTGTATTTTGCTAAAAATGCTTAAACATTCACATTCAGGAACATGATTTATATTGCATGTTGCCAGATTTTGTTCATGCGCTCCAAGGTGTCTCTCAAGGTCATGCTAAGGTCTGATCTGACTAACCGGAAATAACACTTTGGCACAGAGTTGAGGCCAAACACTTGCAGGTTATTCTAATAGAGTCATCTAGGGCTAGAAGATCACTTCTGACCTTTCTGCAGTGTTTCTGTGTGAGCATACAGGTACGTGTCAAGGTACGGTTTGGACTTTTTGTACAGTCGGTCTTTGATCAAGCTCCAACAGGCCGGACACACCTTGGCCATGGGAGGAATTCTCCTTTTCCCTTCTTTTCTTACCACGGTATCTTTTTCATGTTGTAGCTCTTGGGTTTCAGGGCAGTAGGCGGGATTCATTTATTTGACTCACGGCTCTGGAATGCCAGCTCACAGACACATACAGAGAGAGACGGAAGGGATGAAAGGACAAAACAAGGAAAACCAAGAGGTTTGCGTGCACGGGGAGAGTGTGTGTTTGGTTTGGCGGAGTTCAAATGTAAACCATATCATCTATTTAAATTTGTGGCTGTGGAAAGTAAATGTTTTTTTTATGCGCGTTGGAGAGGAAGTGCATCGGGGAATCTCCCACGAGGCTTCCTTGTGGGATGCTGGCCACAATTTCCGCCAGGGTCATACACTTGTAAACACAAATATGACAGATGAGAGTCTGTATATGTGTTTGTTTGTCTAATAAGACATTAGAGGAGATTTCTGAGAATTGACATCAATAGTCATTCTAATAGTGAAAGCAACAGGATGTGTAAGAAAACCGTTTTAAACAATCCTACCAAAAACACAATTTAGTTTTGAAAGCATGCAAAGACCTTATCAAGCAACTTTGAAACAATATGAAAGTGTAATATTGCAGGCAAAGTACAGTACATGCATTATATTGCAAATGTGTTAAGAGTGTTGATAGGCAAACGTAAATGCAAAAAGCAGAGAACTTATTTTGTAGATTCTCTCATACTAATACCATATTATATTATTATATTATATTAAATACATGTTAACAAAAATATAAAATGAAGGATATACATTTTAATAGGGAAATGTAAAATGTAAAAAGATTCATTTACAATACACTATGGTGAGAAGGACATAGCCTATAGATTTAAATTACAATCACACACACACACACACACACACACACACACACACATATATATATATATATATATATATATATATATAATATTTCCATTGTACCTTCTTACCTCACACATTTTCATCTTTATATTGCTCATAATATTCATTACAGGTGTTAATATTATGTTAAATATCTCTGAGACTCGCACAGCCTTTTAAATTATATCCTGTGATGACTAAAACAATACAATAATGTTCTGGCAACCACAGATACCACTTTTTGTTACAGTTTACCACATTACTGTTATTATTTATCTTAAAACTCATAATACAGATTTTTTTTTCTAAGCAGTAAAGATTGATTATGGAGAATAGTAGATGAAACAATGTGTCATCTATAATCTGTTGACCTTATTTTCAGTGACTTTTGACGATCTGGTCATTCCCCTCATTTTTTTTTTTCTAATATCCATCTCCAAATAAAGGTAGACTGACAAAGCACTGTATTTTCCCTTAAAACTCACTCATTATGTAGTTTTTTAAGAATGTGTCAGTGAGGTTTGGTTAATGATACACTCTATAAAAAGTAACATATCCAGTTGTTACTTCAATGAGTTATTTAGGCATGATCTTTTAAAATAACATTCATTAGTGTAACCGAAAGAAGCCAGAGTGATTCAGTCAAATTAAATAATAATTAGAACTGGTATTTTTCGATTTCGCCACATTTTAAAGTGACCTGCATGGCAAAACATTTTGCTGTGTTTTCTGAATACAGCCATGTAATGAAAGTGAAGAATGACACAAAACATTATTATGATCATTGCAACTTTATTCATTATATGAACATTATTGTACCTCACACATTTTCACCTTTATAATGCTCATAATAATTATTACTAGTGTTAATAGTATGATGATTATCTCTTAAACTCTAACAAAAAAGTATTTCTGTTCTAATGTTTCAATCAAATCCACAAACACATTTTTTAAAGAGCCATATCAGCATAAGTGTTCATGCATGCACAACACATGAAATAATAAATTATATATATATTAGAGTATTGTACTTTTAGATGTGGCACTGAGAAATCACAGTATTTTGAACAAAGTTTGTGAGACCACAGCTCATTCAAATATTACAAGAAGACAATGAAAAAGTAAATAAGAATTGTAGATGCAAATGTCAGTTTATTTTCACAAGAGAGTAGGAAATAAATAAGCAAATAACAATAAATAAATAACCTTAAATAAATAGCTACAACAAATATTTCTTCATGTAACATAAAAATCTTCAATGTGAGATTCAAGTATTTCTGCGAGCGGCTGCGTTCAGCAACACAAATGGTCATTGAGACACCCTCATGAGTTTAGACGTACAACAGGTCTATTTGTGAGGCTACACTTCAAGTGAAACATTTTCTACATTATCTAAATGAGCCGTTCAAGTTTCATTCCATTATGAAGTTTCTTCGCCATTCAAGTCCATTGGATGTCTCCCTCAGCTTGTGTTTTCCATCACTTCGTCCTCCACTCATCACGTTCTCCATGCACGACTTGGGAGCCTGTTTTTCTTCTACAAGAAGGTTCAGTGAACTTGATTAGCCCACAAACTTGATTCTGAGTTCATTCAGTTCTCGGTGCCAAGTCTATGGTACACTGGGTAGAGAAGGGCCACCACGTATCCATTCCTCCTGCTCTGCTGGTAGAGAGTGTTGATGTCCTCCTCCCAGCTTGAGCTCGGGCATGTAGTGTTCAGAAGCCAAGAGATCTCCTTCTGCTCCTCGCTGCTAGACCGGAGCTGCTGATGAGACATCAGGCTGAAGTCCTCAGGACAGCTGCCCATCATTTGTCTGGCTTGCTCCTCAGCAGGCTGGAAGGGGAGAACATTGTACAAAGTTGCTTCACTCTGCGTGGTCTCGACGGATCCCTCCTCCGTGTAGATCTGCATGAAGACCACCAGGCACAGGACGAGCAGCCAGCGCTTGGCGGGGCTCTTCTCGGCCGGGGGCAGATATTTGCGCACTTTGGAGGGGTACATGACGCGGGTGTTCCTCTTGCGCGGGCGCACCGCGGCTCCGCGGGGAGGGAACGCCGGCTGCTGCGGCTCCGGGATCCGCTCGAAGGTGAAGATCTCCGGCTCGGTGTTGCGCGGCATCATCGGTCTGAAATCAAACTGCGACTGCAGCTGGAAGAAAGTGTTTGTCGGTAGCGAGAAGGCCAGGCTGTCTGATCTGGTGTACATTGCTAGTTCAGGTCAGTTCCAGTACGCGTTAGTTGCTCTGTGTCTCTGCTTCTCAAAAGTGACTTCTCTAACTTCAGCGTGAGGTTTATATATAATTTGCTTTTAAGAGACGCCCATAAGAAAAGCCACACCTCCGGGCGAGACGGAAAATACCTGGTTTTAGCCAAAAATTCCAACGTTTTACATTAATATATGAGCTCAACAAATGTCAGTAGCTATTAGCCAAGTCTGCTTGACTTCAGACAGCTCAGTAGAAAATAACAAAGGTTATATAAAAGTAAAAAGATACATTTGTCAAATTATTTTTTCATTTTAAAACCAAAAATCATAGGATCACATTTGAGTTAGATTTTAATTACTTTTATTTATTTTTGTATTTAAAAGTAATTAAAATCTAACTCAATGTGATCCTATGATTTTTGGTTTAGATTTTTGCCTACTTAGGCTACTTACTTATTGATTGATTGATAAAAAAACAAAAAAACAAAACTCCCCTGTATTTTCCCCTGCTTAATTTTCTTTTGTGTCATTTGTGAATGCTTGAGACTATAAAATCAATCAGACAACTGTATTAATAAAATCATAGCCATAGGTGACTGTCTAGCTAATTGTAATTTGTAAATAATACAATTTAATTACAATTTAGTTATTTACTTTTATATTTTATTAAAGTTCTATTTTGACCCCTATACACTCTAAAAAATGCTGGGTTAAAAAGGGACAAACCAAGCAGTTGAGTTGTTTTGACCCAGCGGTTGGGTTGTTTTGAACCAAACCGCTGGGTCAAAACAACCCAATAGCTGGGTTTGTCCCTTTTTAACCCAGCATTTTTTAGAGTGTAGTAGGTGTGTTTTTTTAACTTCCATAATATTTTGGGGAGGGGGCACAACAATACAATTCTGCTTAGGGCAACCATTTGGCCAGCAGCGGCCCTGCGTATGTCATTTATAATACATGTATCAAAGGACTGTGAAGTCTCTTTGACAAAGTCATTAAACAGATTCAGTTCAGAAGAGTCATTTGTTTGTGAAACGGAATACATTTGTCACATTGTCTGTTTGTTACTAAAAAATTATATATGGTATTTTTAACTTTTGGTCATCATCTCTCTCTCTCTCTCTCTCTCTCTCTCTCTCTCCTGATTGGCAAAACGACTGAATCTTTTCTGATTCATTGAAAAGATTCAGTAAAGAAGAGTCATTTATTAGTGAATCAGACTACATTTGTCATGATGTGTTTTTATTGCTAAAAAAAAAATATGATGATATTCTTAACTCTATCAACATTATAATATATAGATGGATTTTTATGGAAAGTGATTTAAAAAACTGAAGAAAATAATCTGACAATTTCTAAATTGATAATAGATCACCTGTATAACAAATTTGATGAATGTTTATTTATTTATTTTTTGGATCAGTCATGAACATTGCATTGAAATATGTAAGCCTGTTTCTGCCACTGAATTAAAAAAAAAAAAAGGTAATTGCAACTTTTTGTGAGAATTGTGAGATGTGAACTCGCAACTGCCAGTTATAAAGTCCAATTCTGAGGGGGAAAAAGGCTGATATTTTCAAAAGTCAGAATTTTGAGAAGTTGCATTTAACTTTTAAAAAAAAATTATTCAGTGGCGCAAACGGGTTTTCATACTGAAACAATTATTTGTTAATGAAAAATTTATCTATAAAAGATATTTATTATTTATTAATATAATTAAATTGATTTACTGATAAATGTTTTGTTATTATTATTTTAGAA